AACGCAAAAAACGACAACGCCAGGAAATTATCCCTTGTCATGCATGTGCGCGACATGCAATTAGGTTACCGTCTTCTTACTAACTGTTATAGAAATAAAGAACAACGCGTAGTAAGCATTTGTAAGCCAGGTACCATTCTATTGTCGCGGCGATCGCACAACCGCGAATAACGTCTCGATACGAGAGGCAGAGATAGCAATTTTCGAGGTCTCCTTCTCTCCAGCTTGTTAGCAGCCTACTAGACTGAGCCAGGCCGAACTAGGATCCGTGGGGCTCCGGTAACCGTCGTGGGCTACGTTGTGAATGACCAGGTATCGGAAATGCGCTTTCCTATATGGGATAGTACATCAACAACAGCCAAATCGGTGAAGAAAATTTAGGCAACAGCACAAGCCGGCACACGATTGGACAAGAAATCAATGAATAAATAGCCTACACTAACTTATGAGGCCGCACCTGACGAGGACCACATAGTAATGTATGAATAATACAGCTACATAACTATATATATATATATATATATATATATATATAGCATTAGCATGGACGTTAGCTAGACAAAATATCCTTTTTCATCCGGGCACATATAGACTACGACTGGGCAAAAAGCTGTGACAGAATAAGCTCTTACTATCTTATCATATATGATTGATGATTGATACTACGATATATCTATTTGAAACAGCGTGCTCTGAAGTGCGTAACGTATGTTACGTATTCATCATCACCGAAGCATCGAGAGTCAGTCGTCGGTGTCTCTGTTGCTGCTGTAAAGAGGCGCTGAGCGGAAATCGCCAGCGGCCTCTACTAACTTCCCAACGAGTGGGCTGTGGGCTTAATAGCGGATCTATTTCTCAGGCTGTACATAAAGACGTTGTAAGCTAAAAGTAAGCAGGTCTCAGTTTAAGTTTGTTGGACAACATCCAGCGGTAGACAGCCATTTATAGACACATAAGGAAAACTCTAGACTTAACAATATGATCATAAGCAGACATTTGCCTCACGTTAATTTCGAAAAACCTTTCTCAGCCATTTCCTGTTCGTGGTCAAAGCAATCACACCACTTGAAGCAAGCTTCAGGAGAGGCCCATTTCCGGTCACGTTATCGACTATGCCACACGTTGCAAGCCAAGCCTATCTTTGCATCCTGAGCTCTGATTTCATCAAGTTTTTTTGATTTTTAAACATACCTCAAACGTGTAACGCCCAACCTCCAAGGACACTTCGAGCCAATTGCTCAGATGTGCGTTAAACACCTTCTTTATTCAAGCTGTGTCCGTGGAGCAAACGGGTTTGGAAAATCGTGCGGGAAAGTGCTCCATAATGGACTATCGCAACTGGTTTCTTTTAAATTCTTCTAAGTTTGGAAAAAAAGATTAATGATTCCTCAAATGTATTACAGTTGAAACTTTCATCAAGCCAATCAATATTCTGGTGCTTAGTATGCTGGTGTGCATGGGTGATAGAGTGCATACGACCTAAATTATGCTGCACGTTTCCCCTTATCGCCTCTGTCGAGCGTAGGCAATTCATTGTCTGTCGTAGCAGTTGTGCAGCACAAGTCGGGGGCAATAGGAAGTTTTTTTTAGCCCAAAAAAGATCTAGACAAGCGTACTGATTTCTAAATAAAGGAGAACGTAATGTGGCCATATGCATAGTTCTGTACGCATGTAGTAGTTAGCACGTTAATACACAGATAATATAATTGAATTTGAATACATTAAAGTGCACAACGTTTGGTATAATAAGTTCCATGTTTCAAATTATCTCTTAAAACAACGCAACGATAAGATCGATACCGGTTAGATAAAAGATGACGAATCTAGCTGAAAATGATAGGAACAAATAAAAGTAGTACTTTATTTGCTCGTGAGTAATAAAACGCTCTCCTTGCGTTTTGAGATACTCGCCTCTAAGAACATAGCGAGCGTCGTTGCCGTCAAGTAGCTTAAACGTCAGCCAGATCGAATTTAGCTTACAATGTCGATCGAATGTAGCTATTACGAGTCTGTGCGGTAATATCATTTATTATGGTTAGGTTAGGTGCTACCGTGTACAGGCGAACGTAATGTTGCCGTAGCAGTAATGATAGAGCAACTGTGCAATCCACATCGTTTTGTCTTTAGCACGGAGCTATAAACGATAAAGGGCTGTGAACGCAACACCACGCTTTCAATTAGGAGACTGGCAAGTGTCGTGGTCAAGCTGGACAAAAGCCAGAGCGCGACCTGACCGCGAAACAAGCAGAACACGCACATCTACCCCAATAACACATAGAAGAAATAGAACACTTAGAAACATTGACGAAAAACGAAAACGTTCCTATCGGTGTCGGCGAAGCAGTTCGCAGACGTTCGGGGTACTATGAGTTTGCGGATGGAACGGAGGAGTCCATTAGTAAAACGCTATTGAAAATCAAACATGGCGCACGTATTTGGTCTATTGATGTCTATGTCTTATCAATAGCCTAGCTTTTTCTAAACGAGGCAGTTCGGAAATAAGCAACTTTCGATGTCTGATCTACTATACTTTGTGCTAGCGTGGGCGTGCTGGGATTTTTTCTGGATTGGGACAAATAACACTAGTGGAAGCACAGATACCATCATTAGCCACGGATTTCTGCATTACAGATTGGCTCACTCGGACAAAAGCTTGCGAACTCTCAATGAGACTAATGATAATAATAATAATAATACATATAAGCCCATGTACGATGTTAAAATGATTCTATTGTTATTCGTGGAACGCCGCACCGATTATAGCGTCGAGTCACTTCATTTCAATTTGCTGTGATGGACGCGACCTAACACGCGTCCATCACAGCCTTCAATCCACGATTCGACGATAGTCAATAACTGTCAAAAACGGTAACCCTGCGACCACATCGGCACAGATAACGAATTTATCTATCTGCAAGATTACGGCGATCTCGTCTGCTTTTCGTGCCCGGAGCATGTTGGAACAACAGCACGACAGATCGTCCTACCCAATGAAATTGAACAAAAGCAGAATTCTTCTGTCTTGTAACTTTTCGTATACAACTATTTTTTACAAATACATAGGCCTTGACTCATGCGAGACACGTCCGAAAAACTTTAACAACAAAATGTGTGCTTAAGATTGCTTATTGAGGTAGAACAGGTCACAGACGTCCAGCATGAAGTGTCGCAGGCTGCCGCCGGCCTGCCTCGACCCTCTTAGTTTAGTAAGAACGTTATGTTTAACAAAAACTCCTACTGCTGCTGTTGCGTATTATACCAGTTTCAATTGGCATATTAACGTGCACATACAATTCTTCATTGCCTAATTGTTGATCACACCAGGTACGCGTCAGAGTGATCTTGGCAAAAGTGGACCGCTACCCTGAGATCTACGGTATGTAAAACGAGGAAGATTTGGTTTGATCATTATGCCTTCAGCCTCCTTCCGCTTCCAGCAGCCACTCTTAGAGACAACTGCTACTTGCCGGTCTGTACCGTCGTTTCTAGAAGTGGTCCACTACGGCCCAATGTATGGGTCTGAAAAAAGAATGCTCGTGGTAGCGGCAGTGACGATGATGGTGATGGGGTAAGGGCAAAAAAGAACAGCCAACTGTAAACTCAGATGCCATAGCTCTGTTCGAGGACAGACCCAGTTACATTAGCCTCCGCTGCCACAGCAGCTCTATAACTAAGGAATGCAACAATAAATACATTCAAATGGCTAGAAAGCCTCAAACGGCATTAAAATATTTTCGAACGAGACGGACAAAGCCAGAACCAGTGGCCGGGCTTTCGCATCGAAAGGTTGGCTGTATTGTATATACGAATGATGTGTGTGAATGATATTGAAATCGGACATGTAGCGATAAACAGCAAGTATGTTTTTGTTGAGCGGCTTGCTAGTGATATGATGTAAAAGTTAGGTGGTTCAGCGTACGCCAAAATCGACCCCAACATGTTTACCCAACTAATGTACCGTTCTTTGCACTATCAACATCTGGTTAGCCCTTGTGTGGCAAGGGTATTTGCCACTGAAGGACGTACGTCTGACAAGGGGATTCCCCAGAACTGAGTTGGTACACATACATAGGTAGGTTTGGTCGGCAGAAAAACGGTAGCCTAGGTATCTCCCAAGTTTGTCCTTTCTTTGCCGATGTAGGAATATTGATTTATACAACTCTGTGCGATATCACTCGGTGCTCTTCAAGCTGTTTATTCAAACAATAGATCTGGTTCTCGGCCTAGATCAGCTTCGTCAACAAAGGTGCAGTGGTTCGTCGCATAGAATAGCGATGCCCATTTCTATTCTTGCTTAGTAAATCGTAAGCATCTTTTAGCCAGTACCTTCTTCAAGGTTGCCAATGGGAGCATAGAAAGTAATTGTCCAATCAGCCAACGTATCGCACATACGAATCTATGCATGCATGGTCGCTGCTATATTTCCTACCTTCATTCTGTAACGACCATACGGGTGCTGACATTGCACTTGTTCGGACGTACGCAATTCTATACAGGCTTTGTAAATAGAAAAACTCACGAAGATAACAGAGATTTAATGTGACTAATATCTAGTGTGTTCGAATGCATCCTTCTCGTAAACCCTGTCGTCGCGCTATAGCGTCGTCTCCTTGGCCCAATTAGTGTAGAGTACAAACGAGCGAAAACAGAAATCCAGCTTTTTTTGCTTTGGTTGGGTGGATGCACTATGAGCCAGCGTCGTAGGACCTAAGGTCGCACCACGGAATCACATGCCACAGACCTATGATCAGCTGAAAACGTTCAAGCCTTACACGAACAACCTTTTCATATCCATGTTCATGATTTTGGTATCGCTGGTTGCTGATCTTTCGACGACAGATCCATAGCAAACAGCAATTTTGCAAAGAGCCCGGTTTATTATTTAGACTTGGGACATGTTTGGCTTGTTGGCTTGACCTTTACATTATCACACTCGCATAGCTGTACTCGTTTAAAAGACACTTTTCAAAGACTCCCTAAGTTCGCCTTTGCTATTGCAGGTGCATTTCTGGTTCCATTCTTCATCAGCATCGTTTTATGTGGAATTCCTTTGTTCGTAATGGAAGTCTCCATAGGACAGTATCTTAACACTGGTGGAATCGGAATCTGGAACCTCGTCCCGATGTTTAAAGGTACGTTGTTGTCAGATGATTCCAGCGCTATATTTCGAACATACTGCGTTCTGAAATCCTGTTTTACCAATCGTTAACTGAAAAACACAGGCCATTTTTAGCTACAGCATACTCCGTCATTGTCATATCCTTTTGCTTAGGTGTGGGTTATGCGTCTATGACAATGATTGGCCTATCGAATATCTACTACATCGTGCTGATCGCGTACACTCTTTACTACTTTGTGGCTTCGTTTTCATCGCCTCTTCCGTGGGAGAACTGCGGCAATGATTGGAACACGATTACCTGCGTTAGCCTTAGGGAAAACCGGACTTCCCTCAATAGAACCGACGGAACATCGTCCGTGAGAGAATACTGGGAGTAAGTACCTGATCAGAGGAAGATTGTATCTGGTGTAACGAACGCGACGTTCGCTTGCACTCACAGAGCGAAACGACCTTTTTGTGAGAACCGGGCAAAGGAATATCACTGAGCCAGTATTATTAACTCAGCTTTTGACAAACTTGGCTGGAACTAAACAGCTGTATTAACATACACGGATAATTGTGTAAATAACCCTTTAACTGGATACCAATCGGAAAGGATTATAGGGCGTTTTTCGGCCAACGACGGCTAACGTAATTCGCTTCTTATGTGTTTGTTTTTTTTTCCATTAACGTTACATAGCATCAAAGTCTTAGGTATTACATCCGGCCTGCACGAAATGGGTGAACTGCGTTCGGAGCTTGTGGTCTATTTACTCATCGCCTGGGTCCTCGTCTACATGGTCATCTGGAAAGGACTTCATCAAAGCGGCAAGATCATCTGGTGCACAGCTTTGTTCCCATACCTTATACTGCTAATTCTTTTCACTCGTGGTGTCACCCTCGAAGGTGCTAGTGAGGGTCTATTGTTTTATCTCAAGCCTGACTGGTCAAAGCTCCGAGAGCCTAAAGTTTGGATCGCTGCTGGAACCCAGGTTCTCTTCTCCTACGGAATTGGTACGTCTAACTTTGTGTTCGTGACGCAAGAGAGTTTAATGAAAAGGCCGGTAAAGCATGAGCAATAGGCTGAAGGTTGATGCATAGAGAAACAGCTTAAATTATTTCCCGCCTCTTACCATTTACAACCTGAGTTTGGCTTCCTTCTAACGGGGCAAAAGTGTTTGGACGGCATAAAAACGTCTTAGCCACAATTTATTTTAATAGAGATTAGATTTAACGATACAATAGATTTGTAATAGAAAACATTTTGCTATAAGATGAGCACTCTACAGGGTATTCTGATAATAGTTGATTAAATCATTCAGATGACTACATCTGAATGTGATGAATGATCGTCGTATCCATTGCGTTTCAGGCGTACGATCACGATATTACATTATAACATAGTATTATAGGAACATTAGAACGGCGTCCCTGTAACAAATCTATTGCTCTCCTTGTTGCAATAATTCGCGTATCGTCTGCTACTTCAACAGATGCAAATTGATGACCTCAACTGTCATAAAAAAAAAAGCTTTTGCGTCACTTTATGTATAAACATACTATTGGTACTCACAGTAATAATGATGACTGGTTATTATCACTCGTATATACAAGAAGAAATTTGTTTTTATTAATCAGTGGCAAATAACAGCCTGTTCTATTTCTTTTCATTTCAGGTATTGGCGCTAATGTCGCTCTTGGTTCGTACAACAAGTACAATCACAACTTCTACAAGGATTCTCTCATCGTGTGTGCCATATGCTCCGGTACGTCGCTCTTTGCTGGTCTAGTTATCTTCTCTGTGCTTGGTCATATGGCCCATGTTCAGGGCAAGGAAGTCGCTGAAGTGGCGCGGTCCGGACCCGGTCTTGCTTTCTTAGCTTATCCCGAAGTCGTGGTGCAGCTTCCGTGGGCCTCAGCTTGGGCTATTCTCTTCTTCTTGATGCTGATCGTCCTGGGTATCGATTCACAATTCTGCACAGTTGAGGCTCTGGTAACAGGTCTCGTAGACGAATTCGCCACCATCCTACGGCCGCACCGCCGACTTTTCACTCTGGGTATCGTTTGTCTTCAATTCGCACTCGGCCTACCGATTGTCACCCAGGGAGGCATGTATATCTTCCAGTTAATGGATTTTTTCTCGGCATCTGGCGTATCACTGTGCACTGTCGTCCTGTTTGAGATTGTCGGATTCTCTTACATTTATGGTAAGGTCTAGATCCAGTAGCGCATATGAGCTCACTAGACACAATGAACGTTGTTTTTGTGCAGTTGACAATTTCTATTTTTAGTTTAATACAAACGCTTGTTATTTGCTTTTAAACTCAAGGGCATCGACAGTTTATCAAATGCTTTTTGTATTATGATTGTTATAAGTCCCTGAAATTCACTCGTGGTAAGTGCCTCTTGTACCTTTCCGTACTCCCTAAAAGTTATGTGTTATTATATGTATAGTATATGATGTGAAGAACATTAGAATCCGCTGTCATATGACAATAGTGCGATTGGCAGTCCTACTGTTGATCCGGAAGATTAAGGGCCTTGAACTCTATTTGCAGTAAATCCTATACGGGTATCGAGCCCACGTCATTTACGAGGCTCGATATCGAGATGTAATTGTAAATAAATTTCCTTGAAGCCAATTACTTCCGAATAGGGCCTATTAAGCATTTTGTAGGTAGGCCTATGGTAGTCTTCTTGGCCATGTCTGCCTTTCTACTTCCATTTCGTTCCAGGCGCCAGCCGCATATATGAAAATATTGAGGACATGATCGGCTTCAGGCCCAATCGCTTCTACGTATTTTGCTGGCTTGTTGCGGCCCCTGTCGTTATTCTGGGAATGCTCCTTTTCTACCTGATCGAGCACGAGCCACTTACGTACTCGGACACGTACGTCTATCCCTGGTGGGGTGAGGCCATTGGGTGGTGCATGGCCCTTGCGTCCATCATTTGGATTCCCCTATATGCGCTCTATTTCCTCTGCAGCACCCCCGGAACCTTCCTCGAGGTAAACGTCATACCACTGACAAATATCGGACTTTTTGCACAGCTTTCTTCCCATCTTGTAATTATCCTGACCCGTTTTAAGTGTCCTAACAAAACTATAATAATAAGTTTTTTCCTGAATATCGTGAATTGCGACTAAAAGTAGTGAACTATGTTGATATGTTTCACTTGATCATACATATAGTCGAGTTAAATAATTGGTCACAAATTTCACTCGGATATTATCTGTCGACTTTAACTCTGTTCTATTTCTAATTGTAGCGCATCAAGAAGGGCGTGACACCGCAAGTGGTGCCTCGTAAGGTGCAGGAGGGCACACCGACCTCTGAGGAGAGCGTCACTATGGACAACCCAATTACGTCCGCCCAGCTCCTTCTTCGCCCGGAGAAGGTGTGAGGAGGAAATCAAACCCCCTCTTACCCTCCACCACAACGACAACAAAACTCGACAGCATCTTTATCCCACCAACCAAAAATGTGTAGCATCAAAAGGCTCGACACAGCAACAGATTTGCACCGCAAACATGCTTTTCTCAATGACACATCCCATCACAGGCGACTATGGACCGCCTCAGGCGATTCAGATCCAACAGTAAATTATACCTTCTCTCACAAAATCTGTTCAGGATCCACCGCTGTCAGTTCTAGGCCTTTCGCGAAGGGTCTAGAATGGCAAACAACAGGCAGCTTCAACAAACAGCTTCTTTGGTCTCCAGCAGATTCTTGCAATGAAAGGAGAGGCGTGTACGTGAAAGTAATCTGCTGTGTGGTGTCGCACCCCTTTTGTCGGCACAGTAGGAACAATGTCAACAACTTCGAGCCAAAAAAAAATCGTTAACATTTATAACGATAACGATTGTTTACTATAGAACATCATAAAAAAAAGTAACAAGATTTCATCAGCGAAAAATAGCAGAAACAACTATGTGGGGACATTTACGCGTTCATATATACATATATAGGAAACTACGAAATATCGCAAACCACCGTCCGTCTTCGGAACAGCAAGATACAACAATGCATGGACGAAATTTCATCATCAAGTACTTGTGCCAACTACGGTCTGACCGAACGTCGGCAGCGGTTAACGATCTCCGGCGAGCCCTGGAGCTTTGTGCCTATTTGTACTAGCACAATGTACCGTAACTAATCAACTTGCGGTCCAGCTAGATTCAGGGCAATGCCATTTCTTCTTGCCAGAAATGACACAAAGGCTATGTCATGTGCTATAGCGACGATGCCGAAAACAAGTCATAGGAAGACACGTACACCATAACGAAAAAGGGAGGGAAAGAAAGAAAGATCGTGGATATCTGCTGAGCTCAACATGCATTCCGCCCGGCACCGTTTCTTCGCTCCAAGATCCCAGTGACCCAGTGGGCTAAAACTCCAGTGGGAAAAAGATGTGCACACAATTCTGTGTTTATTTTAAATAACATTACCGCTGTTCAGTACTAACAATAACAATAAACAAATGGGTCAACAGTGCCAACGCGACTGTGGCGCACTCGACAACGAATAACACAGAACTAGCCGATTTCGCCATACATCTTGCCCCTGGTGAGGTCGGCGCGTGATCATACTCAACACGCATTCCCTTGTACCGCCGCGCTGGCCGGCAACGACCATTGGGTCGAATGACAAGGACTGACCGCTTATAGGATTACGATACTATTAGAGGGCGATAATATATGTTCTGCACCCTTTGAGGATATCGTGACGATAGCACACTTCCACGCCTCAGCGACCTCGTCGTCCCTAAACCCCGTTTCGGCCCGCTGCGGCGTTGTCGTCCAAGTTTTCGTTTAATGTCAGTCACCACCTTTGGTTAACAGCCGATCGATAACGACAACAATAACTCTATCTCCAAGAAACACATTATTCAGATGGACAAATCGCTAGGGTAAAGGCATCGTTGGTGACCAGTAATCTGTTTTGGACCACAATAGCAACGAAATCAACAATAACAATCGATACATTTATTACAAATGGACGATAATAATGTAATGATTATATACTCTTAACTCAAAACTCAACACGCATTCCCGCAAAATGTTTCTGATGTTTCGATGATCGAACAAATAACATCGCGGCTCTACAACAACAATAAAAACAGCAACTTTATGCCAATGTCCTCTCCCCAAAAGCATTTTTTGGAAAAGTCTATATTCCAAAAAGTTCGGCCGCCAGGTCATTCTTTTTTTCAGGTTATTCTTGCTCCACTCACTGCCTGTCGAACCTTTTCTTAGTTACCCCGCCGCGAACGCTACCTCTAGCTGAGCAAATGTCATCGCTGCGAGGACTAGGATGTACCCCCAAAACTGGAAGTCTAAGGTTTACCTCGGCAGAAGTCTCATAGGATAAACACTTCTCTCTCTCCCGCCCTTTATCTCTCTCTCTCTCTCTCTCTCTCTCTCTCTCTAT